GGGACCTAAATGTTTTAAAATTCTCTTTCCCCTCTCCCAGTGTTTCCGTTACACCAGGGCTCTACCTTCTTCCCTGCCTTTGTGTTTCCTGCCTGGTGCCTCCTCTCATGGCCCCTTCTGACAGCTAGGCTCTTCTTGTTGTTTCATTTCTATTTCTGTTATGAAACAAATGAGAAGAAGCAACTTTTACAAGGAAGGATTCGCTAAGCTTGAACATGATCGGCAGTTCATCACTGAGGGAAGCCAAGGCAGGAACTTGAGGTAGGAACTTCATGTTTCTTGAAGCAAAAGCCATGGAGGAATGCTGCTTATTGACTTGTTCCTCCTGACTTGTTTACTTTGCGCACACTCCAGGACCACCTTCCAAGGGATCGTGCCACATACAGTGGACTAGGGCCTCTTCTTATAGTTTGACTTGAGAGATTGAGACAGTAGGTTTGCTACAAAATTGAGATTAGACTGACTATACTCTGAATTCTAGATCACCTTTAGCTACTTACTGACTTTTTTGTCTTAAAACAAACAAAATCCCCAAACACTTACAGAATGAAACAGCTTATTGTATTTTAATGAAAATCCAGGAAATGTATTTCAATCATGGAAAACATGTATATTGTATATTAAGCATTTTATTGTTATAAACATAATCTACGCATGTTAATTGTTCTGTTAGCAGGAAAGGAAAATTTTTTAAGTTTAGACACCATTTAATCATGTACTCTTCAAATAAGTTTGGTTTTCTCTTATTCTTTTTTGATTGGTATTTCATTTGTGTTTATGCCCATGGAGGATAGAAGATGATGTCAGATCTCCTGGAACTGGGTTTCTAGGCAATTTTGAGCTGCTGGAAGTGGGTACTAGAAACAGAACTATGGTTCTCTGAAAGAACAGTAAGAGGGCTATCCTCTGAAACTTCTCTCCAGCCCCTTGGGTTTCTTTTCAAGTTATGAAGGACTAAACACTTCACACCACTTAACCAGTCACATAGAAGATGAAATGTTTTCCTTCAGAAGCTGGAACTCCAAATCTCCGTGTTACGTTTATTATTTGTGAGCACCTTTTTTATTATTAATTATGAAAGTGTGGCCTTAGCTTAGGTTTATTTCCAACTAGTTTATTTATTTATTTATTTTTACTTAAAATTTCCACCTCCTCTCATTTCCCTTCTCCTTTTCCTTCACCCTCTCCCTCCCCCTCTGTCTCCAGTCCAAAGAGCAGTCTGGGTTCCCTGCCCTGTGGGAAGTCCAAGGTCCTCCCCCCTCCATCCAGGTCTAGGAAGGTGAGCATCCAAACAGACTAGGCTCCCACAAAGCCAGAGCATGAAGTAGGATCAAAACCCAGTGCCATTGTCCTTGGCTTCTCAGTCAGCCCTCCCAGTGATAGCCTTTGCTTGAGAGGATGTGGAGTAAGGGCAACACTCATCCATTGCCAGTGGGAACGCAAACCTGTGCAACCACTTCGGAAATCAGTGTGGCGGTTTCCTAGGAAATTCGGGATCAACCTACCCCAGGATCCAGCAACACCACTCTTGGGAATGTATGTGTGTGCAAGCACACATATTTCTGCCCATGGGCCTGTGTGTTTTGTGTACATGTGAAGGCATGCCTGCAGAAGTCAAAGGACAGTATGTGGGAATTAGTTCTCTCTTTTCCCCATATGGCTTCTGGGGTTCCAGGTAAGTTATAGGCTTAGTGACAAGTGCATTTACACACAAAGAGATCTGCCTCGCCCCCAAATTGTCTCAATCATGAAGAATGTCCCAGGGACAAAATTGGTCCCTGGGAATAGATGGATGGTTCCATTCTGGAGACAGAGGAATAGGAAGAGCCCATGGGGGAAGAGATTTCCATGGAGTTTTCTTCTACCTTACTCTCCACTGTAGGAGGGTGCCTCTCACAGGAGGCCTACCTGCTGCAGAAGAGTATCATCTCCAATGAAGTATGCTGTGTTTTCCTAGGAACCAGTCCATCCTGATATATCTTGGCTTTGTACACCTGCTAACCCATGAGACAGAAAGCAGGCCAAGGGCATCCCTGGTGGCCTTTTCCCTTCTCTAACCTGTACAGAATAGAATCCTTCTCAAAAGACTGTCAACGCAAGAAAGTAGCACCCCAAAGAAGTACAGGGTCCCATTAAGGAGACTTCCCTCCCAGTGGGCTTTGGGCCTTGCCAAACTACAAGAGGCATTCATTCATAGCTTAATGTCTCCTAGAATACTGGAAGGTAATAAGCATATTGAAAAGATAGTATAAAGGTCACCATTCAAATATATGTTGTCTTTCACTTTCAAACGTTCTAATTATGTCCCATAACTCCCTGAAATGGACAACGATCCACCTCCTGTGCTTTACAGAAGTTTTCAACTGTTTCATCCACCTTTATACTACCAGGGATTCCTCACTAACAATGAGAAAACATTGATTTATTCCAATTTGATATTTGTCCACTTTAGACAAAATTATAATGAGGTGACCGTTATAATCTTGTGCATAACCATGTCAGTAACACAAATGTGTAATGGGACAAGTAGATGTGGTAAAGTTAAACCCGGGTGTCAAGTCTATAGACAGAAAACACTATATTGAAGGGTTTGGTAATCAGTAAGCATGCTACAAAAAGTGAATGCAAGGGCTCACCATTAATTGAATCACGAATGAAATATCAATGGTCAAAAGGTGCAAAGGCAGGGCTTGATGGAATAGTAAAAACAGAAAACCAAACCAAAACAAATAAAAACAAACCAGAATGGGGAGGTGGCTAGAATGGTCCCAGTCAAAGAAGACAAGAACAGGGAAAGCCTGCAGCCTCCACATCCTCCAAAAGAGCCAGAGCCAGTGAGTCCAAAATGTTGACAGGGAGGGTCCCTCAGAGCTGTCTGGGGAGGCAGGTGGAACAAAGAAGGCCAGGTGCCAGGCTGGCAAGGTTGGAGCATCTAACACAGCCTCTCAGGGGACAGCACCTGAGGAGAGGGCAGCTATGGGACTGCTCCTGAGCAGGATAGCCACCAGCAGAGAGCCTCAGCAGGGCCACATGGCACAAGGAGGACACAGGCAAAGGAATTCCATCCCCCCTTATACACACACTAGTGTTGGCTGAGTGCCACTTGGGGTTAGATATCCAGGGGATGGGGAGAGTGAATGAGCCAGAACGGCAGAGGCCTGGGGAGAGGGGACAGGCAGCTCGAATGGCTTTTAGTGAGGGGAGGCCAGGAAATAGAGTCTTCTAGAAAAGTTAGTTGTAAACCTTTTGTGAATCCATTTTGTAAACTTGACACAAGCTAGAGTCAATTGAGAAGAGGGAGGTTCAGCAGGGAAAAGGTCTCCATCAGACTGGTCTGGAGGCAGGTCGTGGAGGCATTTTCTTAATTAATGGTTGGTGTGGAAGGCCCAAGTCCACTGTATGTGGCACGATCCCTTGGAAGGTGGTCCTGGAGTGTGCGCAAAGTAAACAAGTCAGGAGGAACAAGTCAATAAGCAGCATTCCTCCATGGCTTTTGCTTCAAGAAACATGAAGTTCCTACCTCAAGTTCCTGCCTTGGCTTCCCTCAGTGATGAACTGCCGATCATGTTCAAGCTTAGCGAATCCTTCCTTGTAAAAGTTGCTTCTTCTCATTTGTTTCATAACAGAAATAGAAATGAAACAACAAGAAGAGCCTAGCTGTCAGAAGGGGCCATGAGAGGAGGCACCAGGCAGGAAACACAAAGGCAGGGAAGAAGGTAGAGCCCTGGTGTAACGGAAACACTGGGAGAGGGGAAAGAGAATTTTAAAACATTTAGGTCCCAGAGAGGCCCAAGCAACCTGGTGGAGGGGTCTGGGGGAGACAGAGAGAGAGACTTGGGGGGACAGAGAAGTGGGGAGAGGGAGTGCTTCAAGTCACCAAGTGGGCCAGGGTATCGTGCCCTGTGTGATGCATCATTAGGTATCTCTCTGTCCCTGCACCCATATCTGACTACAGATTACAGGATATCTGGAGAACCACACCTTGGCCATTGAGTAAAGTTGCCTAACATCAGCCTTGCTTCCACCTTCCCAAAGGTCGGGGCAGAGAGCACAGCAAAGGCTAAGTGAGCTTTAATTTAATAGAGCCCAAGTAGAGAGATACACCTTGGAGTGTCAAGGACGGATGCACGGGAGAGAAGCAGGAAGCAGGTCCCCCAAGGCTCTACCCATGGGGCATTTATTAAAGTGGGGCATGAGCCCTTCATTCTGCCTAGGATGGCCTGAGCCTCAAGAGCAAGAACTGCTGTGCTTCCTTAAGCCTACCAAAGGAGAAAATGATTAGCCTCACTCTGTTGTTGCCTTTAGCTGTCCTGTGCAGTGCAGAAAGCTGGGATGCGTGTTTGAGATAGGAGAGCGCTCACCCCATTGACTACCATGAACTCACCTTTCAGCTTGTGTTAACTTTGGGTCGCGAAGGCACAGCTGGTAGCATTTACTCTCACCTGTTTGCTCTTCCTCATCGTGTCACCTGGGCCCCTACCTCTGGTTACCTTTTAACTTAACAGTGATAAGCCTGACACCGTTCTTGAGGTTTATTTTCACCTGTGACAAGCAGTGACAATCACTTTGAGGAACGACTGCTGAAATGATGGCATTTGAAAGTTTGCACTGTCTTCTCTGAGGACTCTGCTGCCTTCCCCAGTTCCCTAAGGCAGTGCTTCTCAACCTTCCTAGTTTTGGGACCCTTTAAATACCGTTTGTCATGTTGTGGTGACCCCTAACCGGGACATTATTATTATTGTCGCTATGGATTGTAATGTAAACATCTGTGTTTTTTAATGCTCTTCGGTGACCCCTGTGAAAGGGTCATAATGCTCCCCGGGGTCGTGAGCCACAGGTTGAGAACCACAGAGCCTACCCCAGCCATCAAGCAGAGGCGCAACTTCACCTGGAGGAGAGCCCCACCTCAGTGGTTAACCAGCTCAGGTGGTTAGCGTGGGTCTGTAGCTGTATTAGTTATTTCTCTCGCTGCTGTACTCAAATACTTGGCAAGAAGCAGGTGAAAGCAAGAGAAGTTTATTGTCTTTGCCATGGGAGGGGATACAGTCTATTGTAGCAGGGAAGGCCTGCAGGCAGGCATGGCCTGTCGCTCTGCATCCATCTCAGCTGGGAAGCAGACAGAGGATGAAAAGTTGGCCTGGGCTGTGGAAGCACAGGACCGGATCCTGCTGTCTTGCTTCTTCCAGCCTCGTTCCACCTATGAAAGGATCCAAAACCTTCCCAAAGAGCGCCACCAGCCGATGAACGAGCATTCAGACATGTGAGCCCATATGTTCTAAACACTACATTCTGCCCCTGCCCACCATAGGCTCATGGCCACTACCTAAAGCAAACAATATCCATTCCAAAGTCAAAGGAATCACCGGTCTTTAACAGTTCAAACAGTGTTCAAGAGTACAAATCTCTCCTGAGCCTCAAGGCCTTCTCTTACCTGTGAGCCCCTGTAAAATCAAATGCTGGTTATAGATGATGGATATATATATATACACATTATGTCATAGTATGTAGATATATGTATATACAGGTATCTATATTCTACCAAGACACAATGGCACAGAGGAAATATGTGGACACAGCAAAGAAAGATCAGAGCAAACCAAGACTGAAATCCAGGAGAGGAAAGGCTGCAGCTTCTTGTCCATCATCTGGGGCTCCTTTGGGAACCCGACTGCTTCCAAAGGTCTGGCGTAGAACAGTCCCTCCAGCTGGGGTCCATGGAGTCCCTCTCTTGCGAGGACTCCACTCTGCAGCCACACCTTGTCTCGGGGGTTGGCCCATGCTCTTGGCATCCCCCACATCCTGGGGTCTCTGCTGCAAATAAGGCTTTGCCTCCACAGCTTTGCAGCAGCAACCCAGGGACCTCTAGTCTGGACCATGACCTGTCCCACTGCCTAGTTTCAGTGGCTTCATTGGCTCTTACCCAAAGCTATCATTGCCCAATATTTTATTTTATTTTATTTATTTTTTGTAAGCATTTTACTGTGCTTCCAAACGGGGCGGCAGGTGGAGTGTGTTGCCACACCACCTTGAGATGTCATATGTTCCCCAGGACTAAAAAAAAGCAGTAGCGTTCCCTGTCTGCCTTGGTGGTTCAGTACAGTCAGAGCAAATGGCCCTCTGAGGTGTTCTCTTTGAACAGCAGCCACCTTCAGCGGTGTTCTAACCCATGCCTCTCCTTCCTGACACAGTATCACTTTTCTACGTCACAGCCTTCAGTGGGCACGGAGTGCCCTCCTGGCACCTTTCCTACTCTGCCAGTATAGACCAGGAGGCCTCTCTGTGTTGGGGCTAATTCCATTCCCAGGGGCAGCTGTGTTTGGCTGTAACTTTGACCTCTTTTCTCTCCTTGACAGTCTGTGGTTTTCACACCTTTCTGCTCCACTCCTTGCTCTCTCTGCAGGCTTGGGTGAGAGCTTTGATAGTGACCTCCACACAGCCTGAGTGCTATCCTGTCCCTAAGGTTCTCCCAACAAACAAAGTAGCCCGCTGCTTTTGAATTCTGCATCCCTCACGTTCCCAGGACACAAGCAAAATGCAGCTAGGCTCTTGGCCAGAATTCACACAAATGGCCTCCAGCCCGGTTCCCAAAGGAGTCTTAGTCCCCTCTGAAACCTCACAAGCCGGGCCTCCTCGACTGCCTGGATTTCTCCCAGCATCCTGGTCTTCCAAACCCCTACCAGGAGGGCCCATGAAGCTCTCCCTTCAGCATTCTAGGCCCTTCCCAGGGCAAAGTTCTGAACTCTCCCAAGTTCCTGCCCCCAGACCACCTAGAAGCCCTGCATACCACATGGCCGGGTTCTTCCCAGCAGTGGCCTGGCCCATCCCATATCTCATTCTGCCTTGTTACTGTTCTCATTGCTGAAGAACAAGTAACCCCTCCTCCCAGTATAAAGGAGGAAGTGAGGAGGGCACATCCCACCTTGGTGGAGAAGGGAAGGTGTCAGCAACAAAAGCAGGGTCAAAGAGCAGGAGGCTGGCTGTTGGCATCTCACTGGTAGGCAGGGAGCAGCAGAGCAAGCACAGGAAGTGGGGCGGGGCTCCAAAGCCTCCTCACCCTTCCAGGTGACTCTCCTCCTCCAGGAAGGTTCCACCTCCTAAAGTCTCCACAGCCTTTCAATAGAATGCCACCAACTGGTGTCCACGAGTTCAAATGCATTGAGTCTCTGGAGGCCACTTCACCCCCAAAGCTCAACAGTCTCAAGGGTGGGAAAGTGCCAGATGTACAGTCCAGAGCACCTGCTGTGGCCAAGTGTCTGGAGCTCTAGGGGGCAGCACCCTGCCCTTCCTAGGGATAACAGGGCTGCTTGAGGTCCCCTCCCCCACTGCCAGCAAGGTGACCACAGTCAGTCCTTTTAACATAAAGGAAGCCACTGATCTCTCTCTCTCTCTCTCTCTCTCTCTCTCTCTCTCTCTCTCTCTCTCTCTCTCTCTCTCTCTCCCTCAGACAGCAGCCACTCTCTGTTCTGTTCAGGTTACTGCAGCCGCCATTAAATTCTCCTTTTCTCTGGTGGAGGAAGCTGTCTGCAGTGGGCCCGGCAGGGTCCTCTAGATGGTGATCCTGGAGAAGGAGACTCGCAGGTGGTGGTTCTGGCCTAGGGTGTGACCATGCAGCTCGACCAGAGCCTGGATGGCCTCCTCTACTGAGCCCATCCGGATCAGTGCCATCTTGCGGTCCTTTGGGAAGAACTTGAAGGCCTTGACAGAACCCCCGCTGCTGGAGAAGAGATTCTTGAGGTCTTCCTCCAAGACCGAGCTGGGTAGGTTGGAGAGGTGCAGGGTGGCCGAGGGTGGGAAGATGTTCTGGAAGTTCTTGGATCCGGGCTTCTTAAAGCGGTGCAGCGGGGATTTGGCATAGTCCTTGGTGAGGCCCTGGTCCTCCTTGCCCTCCTGGGGCAGCTTCACGCTCTGGTGCTTCGATGGCATGATGCAGAGAGTCTTGCCATACAGTTTGTGCCCGTTCAGGTGCCTCAGGGCCAGCTCAGCCTGGCCGCCATCAGCCATCTGCACTAGTGCGTTCTCCTTGTTACTGTACAGGATCTTCACCCGGTGCACATCGCCATAGGCACCAAACAGAATAAAGAGGCTTTGGGGTGTGACTTTCTCAGGGTTGAGGTTGGCAACCAGGAGGACAGCGTTTGCCACACCTGGGGAGCCTGAGCTGACGACTGGGCTCTCTGCTCCAGCTGCCGCTGCTGCCACAGCCGCTTCTGGTATGGCCAGGGGTGCCAGGACCTTACCCACTTCTGGGATGGCAAAGCCTGCAGTTTGGGGAATTGCAAATGTTTGCAGTAACCCAGTGCTTGCATATGGAGAAGCTGGGACCACGACAGGTGCATCGAACGCTATGGCCATGTTCTGGGCTGGCAAGGGTTGGCTGTCACCCGAGGGCAAGTCTGGGCGCGTGTAGTCACGGCTCCTGTCGTTGTTGTACATGACTGTGAGGTCAGTGAGCCCAGAGAAGGCAATGCGCAGTGTGCAGCAGGCGTCGTAGATGTTCTGCCCGTCCAAGAACAGCTTGGCACGCTGGGCACTCAGTGCGTCAGCATACTGTAACAGCACCTGGAACCGGCTGTTCTTACTGTATATGATGATTTTCAGAACTGTGCCAAACCTGGAGAAGAGCTGGTGCAGCACGTCCAAGGTCACACGATAGAAGTAGTTCTCCACGAGGATCCTGAGCACAGGGCTGTGCATGGCCACCACTGTCCCCGTGTCCACATCAGCGGCAGGGGCAGCCGAGGCCAAATCTGCTGCCCGATCTGAGTTCTCAGCTGGCAGGCCTGGCTGGGCACCCACCTGGCTGGAGGCACCTGCGCAGCCTGCCTGGGAATTCACCTGAGTGTGGTCGCCCTCCTGGCTGGGGACAACCACAAAGCTGGAAGCAAGGGCCTTGCTGGTGGCACCTGCCCTGCTGGAGGCCCAGGACCATTTGGAGGCACTCCTCTGCCTGGGCTCACCCTCCTGGCTGGAGGTACTCCCCTGCCTGGGTTCCCCCTCCTGGCTGGAGGTACTCCCCTGCCTGGGTTCCCCCTCCTGGCTGGAGGCACTCCCCTGCTTGGGTTCCCCCTCCTGGCTGGAGGCACCAGCCTGCCTGGGAGCACTGGCCTGCTCGTTGGATCTGCTCACCTTGAGTTCTTTGTAGCGGGAGAACTGCATGTGGACAGGCTGCCCACGCAGCACAGGAGTCATCCAGGTGTAGTAGCTGACCATGGTGTTGGCGGCCTCCTCCGTGCTCATCTCCATGAAAGCCTGGTTCTTGCCCTTCAGAAACAGTAGATTGGACACCTTCCCGAATGGCAATGCCAGACAGAGAACTTCTCTTTCGGTGACACTGCTTGGCAGCCTGTGGACGTGGATGACTCTGGACGGGCCCACAACACTCCTGCTATCCCTTTTGAGCCTCTTGCTGTCATTTCCTTTGGGTGCAGAGGGTGCGTTGCTGCTCATGACAGCGACTGGCTCTGGACAAAGGCAGAGAGAAGAGCTCCTGCGACCACAGCCCTCAACCAACTGCTGTGTGTAAGGAGCAAGAGCAGAATGGCAGGAGATGCAGTGGAGGGGAGTGAATAGCCCAGCCCTCCTTGTTTGATACAGTGTTGTCCCTGCTGTTGAACACTGAGACACTCTCCTCACTATTCTGGAGCATTCTCTGCTTCTATCTCTCTCGCGCTCTCTCTCTCTCT